AAGTTGATTTGTACACTGGCTTTGGTGTTTCTTTAATGACACAGTTAGCTCACGGCTAAGGTATTTCACGACTTATATACACAATAAAGGAACGAAGCATTATTACGTCATAAGACTTTTCAACAAAAAATAACGTCAAGAAAAAATAATTATCCGCTTTTGGCCCTTATAAATATCATTCATTTACTTTTTCATTAAAGAATATATGGCATGTGAATTGATGAAGTAACCAATCCAAATCAGAACCAGAATTAATAAAAATATAAGGTAAAATAGATATTTGACATTACTAGATATTTCAGTCGATAAATGAGGACAACACTGAAATTTATTCTACATTCAGAATATCCTTACAAATAAGATTTCTTTGTCAAATTTATTCAATGACAATTTCTTTTCTGACAATAAAAGAAAATGCACTTATGTCACAAATGCTACATTTACGGCCAGAAGGAACACAATGCAGGCTAATGGCGACAAACATATCTATATAAAATTAGATTTTCTGGATGATTTAGGAAACATTCTGATATACCAGCAATAAATGTTATTCCCTAAACTTAATTTGCCAACGCTTTCTCCGTTGTAATATCTGTATTCATTTGGAAAAACGGAACTATTTTAGACCAATTTTCACACATACTAAAAAAAGCGGCAACTTTGATAAAATGTATTATTCGTAACTGATGCATTTATTAACAAGGTCCAGTGAAATTGTGAAACGCCGTTTACTCCGACTAACATTGGTTCTAGAAATAGTGGAAAAGCCCTTTTTGACGACGGTTACATTTAGAGCGTTCAAATTTCGCAATAACAAATTTCATTTATACAAAATTGAACAATAAATCGTTAGTAATTATTGCAAGAATAACAACAACAGCAAATAATAATAATTAGTGGTCTGAAATTGTACCAGTATACTTCGACTTGGTGAAATGCGTCATCAAATGATTAAAAACTGTAAACATTGAAACAATTCTTTGAATTGATTTGAACGGTTCAAACATTCAAAACCGAAATTGACTATGTCGTTTGCCTTGTAAAATAATAGTATCAGTTACCAACGTAAATAAATTACTGCTTTCATTACATTGATTCTATTTTGCTTCCGAAGTTTGGTATAATTCAGTTTGTTTGTTACTGTCGGCCATATAAACCTTGTGTTGCAAAAAACTTTTCTTTTTTCTTTTAATTATCCCTAACTACCAGCACCTACAGAATTAAGCCTGTAACGCAGGTGCAGCACTTTGATTTTCCTATTTTCAGACGGTATTAAAAGTTTGTACGCTCTGTGTAATCAATGAGTAAATGCGGATAAATTGAACAGAATCTTTACCAGCTTCTTTTACATACGCGGGCTGCCTTACAAAATAGATTTACAATAAATGAATTCAAGCTTGCCGATTTATAGCTAGTTAACTATTATCTTAACGATTTACAGGCAATATTGAATTGGGTAAATTAATCATTTTGTTTGTGAAAGGTTTGTTATTGATGGGTTAAATCAACAGACTGTCGCCAGGTTTGTATTAATATGTCATACAGACTTTACGGACTTACTATACGAATAAAAGAATATGAAAAAACATAGAGGAAATATAAATAGAGCCAATATGACTTTAAATTTAAAGACACTCCACAGAGGTCCAAAAACTTAAAATTTAATACAAAACTAATAAAGTCTAATAGATCAATTGGGACACATAAAAAGGTTAGGTAAGCAAACGATAAGTAATAATGTGCCCGGAATTAAATTGAAAAATCGTATTATTGTGCTATTCTTAGTCTGATTTGAGTCAAAAACGTTTTTTGGGGTCATTTTTTCAAAATTTAAATTATCATCCTTAGAAAACTGACTGAACGAATGATCTGAAATTTTGCACATATGTTATTGGTCAAGACCCTTACCAAACTGTACATAAATCTTAAAAAAAAACTATTTTCTCTTTACAGTCTCGTCTTGTCAAATAATCTCAGAGGAGTCCCTTTAAAACATTTCAATCGGCATCTTATGCTTCCTTTAAAAACATTAGCCGACGAATAACAATATGCAGATGTTACTTAGGATTTTGAACTTTTCACTCCCTTTGAATTGATAATAATTGGCTTTGAAGTTACACAACTCCAAGCTGCGAGAGAATTAGGTGCGATATTTTTAGAACTGTTGTTTCAGACGCTTTTAACTTTGAAGTGAGCAGACGACAGGGCACGACTGTTTTATTCTTCGTTTATGTGCTTCTATCAGACTGAAATATGATTACATATTAAAGCAGACAATATTGATAACATTCAAGTTTTACCAAACCAAAAATATATCAATTTGCCCTGCTGAATTTGTGAAACGGCTGGAATAGTCCATTCGAAGAATAAGGGATTTTAATATCAGTATAAATATCAGTACTTTTCCAACAATAAACAATAGATCAGACTTTCATCACTTCCGGTTCCGGTAGGTTACGGATGAAAAATGAAAATATCGAACTACTCTTTGCTAAAATCGAATTTTCTATCTATTCGATGCATAAAACAATCAATTCATCAACAATATGTAAAATGTATTTACTGCATTTTGAATGGAATTACATATGTTTGCAAGATACCCAATACCAATATATATCTAGCTATCAAAATATCAGAGTACGATAAACGATTTAACAGTTATTTGAAGAGTTCTGAAAAAAACGAAATGTTAATGATATATAAATCAGTCTGTTTTATCACATTATAAAACATAAGTACCGGATATAATTTGATGTTCTTAGACTTAGTTCAGAAGTATTTAGTTTCCTTTACATTTTATTACTTTTTATACTTTTAAAATATATCTTATTGTAGAAATGTCTACGTTGGAATTGAGACGGCATTATCTAACGTTTTGACAGTAGTAATGATTATAAGATAAAATGGAATATCATACTAGTCAAATTTGATATTTTCGACATGAAACACATGCATTGATCAAATTCCTATAACATTTTCAATGTGATCTATATGATATGTACATTCACTTAATGCATTCATTTTGCAGCATAGTTTATAGCATTGTCTATTATTATAGTCTTTTGTAAATCAGCAACTGATTGGTCACATAAATGTTATAAGACTGCTCTGTAAATTGTATATGTGCATGTATGTAAATTGTATATGAATGAGAAGCAAATGAAATATTCTAATCATCTGTTCTACTCTCTTTTACTTTATGGGACGAGGCACATTATGCCTAAGAAACAAATACATTTTTACTTCTTTAGGGAAAATATGAACTTAAGAATGTTTAAATAATGGTTTTTAAGAAATGTTAGATGCTTGTTACTTGTATCTTTAAAAAGGTAGCGTTTCATGTGAAGTAATATGTCATAAAAGTAGCAAAATGTAACAAAATGTAAACAAAGTAGTATTTTGACTTTCATACAAAATACTTTTTGCTATAACTATACTTTTCATGATCATCAACAAATGATAATGAAAAAGATGGTTCAGGTTTTTGGCCAATGAGTAACATTTTGGACACCAAAATTTAAAAGCTTTTGAGAAATAAAAATAAAAGCATTTCTGAGGCATAATGGGCCTTTAAGACATTTTATTTAGTTTGGTGTATAAATGTATAATAAATGGAGTTTCTTATTTTAAAGCAAAGATTCGATTCACAGTTGTAGATAAATTATGTCGGAATATCTTTGAATTTATATAAACATATTATCATGTTACAAACAGTTGGTGAATGAACATTCCACATACGTAACTTTATGTAAACATTTCCATCAAAAAATATTCGAAACACATCAATTTATCAAAAAATGCATTGGATGTAAGACCATTTCTATTTTTATTTTTTTTTGATATTCATCAAGTTAATATACATAAAGAAAAACCAATGCATATATGTTTTCGAGTATAAAAACACACAATCTGTATGTTTTAAAATCATGTATAATACAAAACAATAGAATGTAATAGTGAGAAATAAATGTTCAATAATGTAAAACTACGTGTTATGCAATAAAAACACATGTTAAAGCTCAAATATGTACAGATCACGTGACCACAACAATTTTAATGTGACATTAGTATAAACAACTGTATTCATTATTATTATAAGTGTATAGCGAAACTGGACAGACAGAGATTAAAAGATATATCTGCAAATTATGTACCCATTGCTCTGTTGTTATAAATACCATAGGTGTTTTACACACTCACATGTTATTATGGGTATTCAACCATGATAACTTTTAAAGTTTTCAGACAAACAAATAACTAGGATGATCCCCTCATACACATACATAGCCTTTCATTCATCATTCTTAGGTGTAAGTTTGAATTTACGTGTCATAAAACCTATGCAACCATTCTATTCTAACTGTATTTTAAAGAACAAACTTCATTATTGGTCGATATAAGACAATTTAGTAGACAAAAGCGCAAAGAGACATTGCCAAACATGTAATGATTTTGGCAGACGACACTTTCTCATATATCTCTATATCCGACACAAAATATATCTATCTATACCAACAGTGAAAATATATCTATCTATATCAACAGTGAAAATATATCTATCTATATCAACAGTGAAGAAAAAGTTAATGTCGTGTCTTTGCCTACAAATCTGATATGAAACTTCACTGCAATGAAATTGTAAATTATATCAAACTACTAATAATGAATGAAAAGGAGAAATGATATACATGTATTTTATAATGTGTTTGCACAAATAACGATTACGGAAGTAAGAAGGACGTCGCTCGCGGTATTGCCACATTATCCTCACTTTTTTATTCTAGCTTTTAAAACGTATCTTCTTTATTATGATAAACAATTTTCAACTTTTATTACAACAGAAAACGTGTTTTTACACTTGAAAAACGACAAGAGATGTAGCATAAGGTTTCTGTCCTGACAAAATTGAATTTATTTTAGAAACCTCTCAAAATATATTCTGTCTCAAATGACTCTTTATATTAAAGCCGTAATAATATGATTGAAGGATGAATACATACCGCATTATTCCTGCCAATTATCGGAACTATATCTCCATTTTCCATGATTTGGTGCATATATTTTGACTCATTTTGTCACAGTCATACTGACTGCCTAAGAGTTAGTTAAAGTAAACAAACATTTCTATTTTCCCAAGACGTGATACATTTTGAATATAACAAAATATCGCGTTAGATTCAATTCCAGAGGAGGTTACGACTGTGATAATCGTTCATTAATACTATCTCCTCTTTATCTTTTATTGAACAAACATGTCAAACCCATTACGTTTATTCTAAAAGCACAAAAGCATATATTCCATACACTTGAACTAGCTGGTCATTGTTTTAGTTATTAATAGTACCATTCGCGTTTTTTAAAAAGTAAGCACTTACTTCCAATAAACGAGAATATTTTAACTGTATGCAAACAACGAAGGTATTTGAGTAAACATATATTCCAGAAACGATTGTGTTTTGAATATATATGCAATCATCAAACTTGTATTGCTAAAGTTTATTTCTGTAGACTTGCAAACATTAGAAATATTTCCTAGGCATTCTCTCGCGTGGTAATCAACTCTCAGAACTTTTATCTCATCGATAGGGAAACACTCTCTAATGCTTAATAAGATTTCACATTTTTTATGATGTATCCGTATGACAGATAATGTTTAATGACACCGACCACTCAACGTGGTGAGAGCTTGGCTTTGCTTGAAAACGATTCACATGAGGGATATGTTTAGATAATTTATAATTAAACAGTCGGTCCAATTAGCTTCCATTTATACACGGCAATCAGCCAAGAAAAAACAAATTTGCACAGATAGTTTGTCCCGTAACAGGTTGGTTGGGTTTGTTATTATATACACCATTGCGTTGTATTTGTTTTACTTATCATTAATTACGTATTTGTAATACGCTTTGTATCTTCAAGATAAATATATTAGTTTCTGGTAAATATAACAATAAGTTGATGCTACAGAATATAAAAAACAAATTATTACGTAAATTTATATGATATAATAGTATCATCTGACCCACACTTCGTATTTAGAGTCACTGCTATCTTTGGTAAATACTAACTATCGTATGACTTTTATACAGTACAATTGATTTTCATTCTTTCATGACTGTGTTGATTGTCACAATCTCTCGAATACTGTTCTGATCATTAATATAACCTAGGGAAAATGCAAAGTAAATATGTAAATAGGATGCTCTGATATCCGTTCAAGAATTAAATTGACATGATCAATTTGATTATACATTCTGATAAATTTATCTCTTGTTTGATCAAATCGAATGGAATGATTTTGGAATACCTATACGAGACGGCCGTCTAGAGCGACTAAATCGAACTTGATGGAAATCTGTACGTCTTAAAACTAATAACACTAGCTTTTGATTTGGAATTCTTGCAAATATTTGCATGGAAATAGATTTTTTTATCTTTATTACGTTATGTTTATTTATCATTCAAATTTACAGAATTAGAGTAAATATAGAAAACAATTGATAAAAAAAGTGTGGAATTCATAACATTATTGCTAGAACAGTAAATTTGTTATCCAATTTCATAAAAATGTGGCTAGGAAATATAACTTTACGATATCAAAGAAATAAACCTCAGAAATGTAGTTATTGGAAAAAAGATACACTAACTATTATTACCTAAAAGTATTTTCCAAAGGTAGCAATATACAAGAAAGATATACAACATTTGTTAAACGAAAAGGAAAACAATAATTGGTCAGGATAATCTCTCTTGGAGATCAAGATGAACTATTGTAGGTAAACAGTTTACCCTTCACTGGAGAAAAAACAATATTGTTCTAATAGGTCATGAATGTACGTTAACGAAATATCTTAATACAAAAGATGTACTGTAGATAATCATTAGGCGGAACAATAATTAGTACCAATATATTACTTTCATTAGAAATGATAAGAGAGTAAATGGTATATTATTCAATCCACAAAACACGTAATTGGCAACAAATGATTAGTGCTAATTCGATAATGCAAAAACGTTATCACTCTCAGTCAGTGAACGATTCCAGTACAGCAATAGAGTATTTTCTGGTACAAATTGTATGTAAAAATAACTCAAGAGTATTATTGTTTCTCAATTAATTTGCCGATTTATATCTATTAACACGTGCATGGAATATCAATATGAATTATTTGTATCTTTTCGTACATTATTCTATCTAATTTATTGATTTAGATGTACGTAAGATAAGAATATGATTTACAGAACATTAGCAGATATACTGAAAAATTAAAAATTGTTATTCCCTTAAACTTTTATTAATGTTTTTGTTTTCCTGTTAAAAATTTGTTTTTTTTTCATTGTTGAATATTTTTGTTCTTTTTTTTTAAACCACTTAAAACAAATTTTTATTTTGAAACTTAAAATAGAGTATTTTGATAACCATATACAGTTGAATACCATAATAATAACGTTTACATCAATTCTTACTAACTACCACATATCAAACTTTGGGAAGGGTTTGAAAAATAGGAAGATTTGATGCTTTTATACTTCGTATTTCTTTTTCTAATTCGTCATAACGAAAATTTTATATCCAGTATGAATTATATCAAATTGTTATTGATTATTTTTGTCTCTTGACGTTTGTAGGCGATTAAAAAATTGCGTTTTTTTTTCCCTTTTCTAAAAGGCCTTATAATTTTATAAGGGTTTGGAAAAGATTGCAACAAATTAAAATGACAGTCTGTATTTTCCCTAAAAGTTCTATTAATGTCCCTAAGTGATGACGAATGACTTTATGTATAAATTTGTTATTATTATTTTGTCGAAAATCGTATCAGGTCGATTTGCATAATTATATAATATAACTTCTACAAATGCACTTTAGTTGAATGCAAATAACAACAACATATACATGTATCTCAATTAAAAGGGATATACATACACAGAGTGAGTAACATATATCTTAAAACCATGTATTCATATATTATGTATTATTAAAACAAAATATCATTATTTAGATGTCACGTAAACTAAATGAAAGAGGACACAGTAACACTTAATGCTATATATTGATTCATTGGTGCAATCCAGATTGTTTTACAAAATTACTTCAAACTAAATCAATTACACTGAATTTCTTAATAATAAAACAATGCAACTATTGAAATTTGTTGTCGATTTTTATTAACATGCACATCAGAATTCTGTTAATCAGTAATAGGAAACGGCAAACGAAATTATAAATATATTTGCTTTTTCATATGAATTAACGATGTTCCAAAGTTTTTTTTCCAGAGATTGACACTTTTGTTTATTTTTTTACAAAATTTGAAAATTTGAATGAATTAAACATGAGAATAAGCTGTGCATTTAAGCATTTGCAATCCCGATCCTTTCAGCTAATAAGAAATGTCCAGATTTTCTAACAAACGTCAATTTTTTCTGAAGAAGACTAAACGTCGAAAGCTTAAGAAAAGCGTTTGTTTTTATTGAACTGATTATATATTTACAGATTTTCTAACCAAATAAGGATTAGATTAATTTGATTTCGAAAGCACAAGAAGATGACATTGCAATTAATGAGCAGCTAGACAATGACTTAATGATTCCTGCTGATGTGAAGTGATCAATTAATGGCGGATTAATGAATTTCCTGTTGCGTGTCAGTCTCGAAAACACGTGGCTTTAATTTTTCTGTGTGCCTTACATCGAGAGCTTGGAAATCGTGCAAATGGTGTTATACCAATAATTCTGATGGACATATGCTGAACTGGTGATACAGTTATAAGTATACTGATAAAAAAAATAGAAAATGTTGTGAAAGACGTTTAATTTTTCTCGAAAATGAAAGTTAATAAAATAAAATCAATATCAATCAAAAATGTAAAAAAAAACTAATCACTGCATATGGTGATAATAAAATCGAGTTCCATTGCACGTTAAAGTCAAGATATAATGACCTGTAAATTGCAATGTCCTCATAAAATTCAATCTTTTTTCTGTTAACAATTTTGTATTTGGAATGATTTCAGATGATTTTAAAACATGTTTTCAATATAACAAAAAATTTATTACCTTCTTTGGTTTCTACACATAACAATGAAAGACACCATTCTGTTGACAAAAATAAACTTTTGGGTTTTTGTTTCCAGCAACAAAGATGGCATTTTTATAGTATTACATAAGTTTGTATACATGTTTCGGGTACATAACACGCCAACAAAGGTTCATATGAACTATTCTAATAGATGATATTCGAATGTTTTAAGTATATACTTCATTTCATGTCATCGTGCAACTTAGAATTCATGTCAACATGCAAATTAGAACAAAAAACATGACACTATTTCATTATATGACATCATGTGTTTGCAATCGTCGTTAAATAAAATTCAAACATTTCTTTATATTATACATAATTATGTTATATAAAATAGACGTAGCATTATCAGCGTTTCCCAAACGTTTGATTTGCTTTCAGTTTACTGTCAAAATAATATCAAAAGATCTTGAAGCGTGACGAAAAATGCATTTTTATTTTAAGAAAAGTAATAAGCATCGTTTATTGTTATATAATAGGATTTTGCTCTCTATTCTTGACAAAGACGTACACATTTTTTCTTACCTGAACAGAAGACAAATGCGAGACAGACAGTATAAAATTTAAGTCGTGCAAAAATGATATAAAGTAAATGTCCACGAAAGAACACTCATGTCGTGTACGTCAATCATAAAATCTTCGAAAACCCTTGCAAAATATTAGTTACATTTAATGTTCTTTATGTGATATGCATCTCAATATTCAAATCTTTATTTGCAAAACTAAAATAACATAAAATATTTTCGATAATGACAAACAAGTATTTATTTGAATATAAATTGTCTCTTACCATGGAAAATAACATTGGTTTTATAGTGATATATCTAGGTTGTTAATGTAAATTCTCGTTTTCCCTTTTCTTATCAGCTGACAGTTTGGAAAGTTATTTTGAAATTTGTATTGTTACAAATGTAAAATGTTTTCTTTGCAAAACTATCTACATAAACAGTCTGAGTAATGGTTTGTATACATTTGTTTTTCAAACTGACTAAAATCTCTGTATAAAAGAAGTTTAAAATAAAAGATTCTTTCTCTCGAATATCATAATTTCGAACTTTTCTTGGTTGAAATATCTGTTACACAATTTATATTTTTAACATAAATAATCTGAACTCCACGTGACATCAGTATATCTCGTAGTAAGGGGCGTGTTTTGTATCCTCAAGTTTAAACTAAGTTATTCCTAAAACATGAAACTTACAATGAAGTCCAAACCATCTCTGAAATACCCAATGTGAAAGAATGTACAGAAATTCACATAGCATAGATTGTAAGAAACTTCTGCAGCATGTGCGTAGTATGAGCTTTTGAAATGCATGTAATAAACGAATAAGAAAAATATTTAGAAAAAAAAAGAACAAAACATCATCACACATGATAATTTACATGCATCAATATGTCTAAAAGTAAGATGCATTCTTCTATCAAGATGCCAATACCATCTAATACGTTCTGACAGAACCCTTGTTCCTATCCGCCGACACACTAAATCACCTTTGATTATATAGCATCTTAGAACACATAGAAGCAAACAATTACATTTATCAGACTGAAAGTGTCCAAACTGAAACCATCAGTTATATTTATATTTCTCTTTTTCTGCAGCAGCCGACAGCAAATCTATCGTATTTGCTTCTTTATGATTTCTTATACATTGTGAAATTATATTGAATCTCAAATCAAACAATATATGTTACAACAATATTTTAACA